CTCAGGGGGTCAACGGGGCAGAGCAAGCAGCTATGGCTGCTCCTCAGTCCAACCCTAAGAGGCCCCAAGTCTCAGTGTCTCAGTAATCCCTGCAAGCACCTCTGAGAGACAGCCGCCCTCGAGTTCCGCTCACTGCCAGACAGTCCAGTTTCGACAGTCCAGTTTCTCCCCATATGAGTCTGGGTCCCCAGAGACTAGCCCGGAACTGGAGTTCAGAGTAGGAGCATGTATCTCCCTCCCGATTGAAAAAGAAACCGTGTCCTCAGTTGCCAGCCCTTTCCATGTGCACCTCGGTACCTCTGCACTTTACTTCTGCACCTCCTCTGAGTCTCAGTGTGCTTTTCTCTTTCCTTCTAGTTGTAGAATTTCTACTCAGCCAGCCTTCCTGTGGTTCTGGATGATGTCTGTTTTGTCTTTTAGTTGTATTTTTGAAGTGGTGGTGCGCGGCTGCAATTTCCGGTGTTTACCTATGCCGCCATCTTGGTTTCTCCAAGGCTATTAGTCTTTATCCTGTATTAGAAGCCACTGACTATGAACAGGTGTGTGACAGTCATAATTTGTAATGTGCCTTTGCCAAGCAATGCTCTAGGCATTAGGGGTGCATCCCTGAGTCAAACAGATGAATATCTCTATTCTCGTGGAGCCTACAGACAAAAAAAAGTAAAGTATAGACCAGTGATGGTGAAACTTTCGAGCCTGGCATGTCAGCATTTTAAAAAACCCTAACTTAACTCTGGTGCTGTGTCACATATAGACATTTTTTTATATTTGCAACCATAATAAAACAAAGGCTTATATTTTTGATATTTATTTTATATATTTAAATGCCACTTAACAAAGAAAAATCAACCAAAAAAATGAGTTTGTGTGTCACCTCTGACACGCATGTCATAGGTTCGCCATCACTGGTATAGACCATGTTAAAATGTGAGAAGTCCTACTGAAGCAAGGAAAAGTAGAGCACAGTAAGGCAAGTCAGGCAAACCCAGAGGAGGTGTTTCTATTTAAACAGGATGGATAGAGTAGAGCTCACTGAGCAAAAACTTGGAAGGGGATGGTGGTGCTGATGGAGTGAGCTATATGGATAATGGAAATGAGCAGTCTAGGCAGAGGAAGGAGCTAGTGCATGAGGCTTATTGCCTTATTGAGGAATAGTGAGGTGGTCAGTGTGACTGAAGCAGAGTGGATGAAAGGGGCAGTAGTAGGAGGTGTGAGGTCAGAGGGATAATAGCGAGTATGCAGATCCATAGGGCCTTCTTTGTAGGCTATTGTAAGGATTTTGACTGTCACATGCAGTGAAAATAGAGCGTCATTGGAAAGCATTGAGCAGAAGAGTGACATGATCTGATTTTCATGTTAACAGTATCACTTCAGTCTGTTCAAAATTAACTGTAGGAGGTTGAAAATGTAAGTAGGGAGACAGATTAGTAGGCTACAGTGGGGCCGTGACTTACAAGTTTAATTCGTTCCATGACGGAGCTCATAACTCAAATTACTCGTATGTCAAATCAAAAAGTGAACAAGTGAGACACGTGATGCTGGGCTGATGTGGCGTTCACTGTGACATTCACTGTGCCAACTAGCGGTGGGGTATCTGAAGTTGGCTTGTAACCCGAATTTTAGCTCTCAACTCAAAGCAAAAAATCGGCCAAGAGATGGCTCATATCTCGAAAAACTCATTAGTCGGGGCACTCGTAAGTCAAGGCCCCACTGTACTCCAGAAATCTAGGTAGGAGGTGATGGTGGTTGGAACCAGATCTCTGCTTTAAGAAGAGGACCTTGGCAGTGAGAAAAGAGTGGAAGCAGAGGTAATTATTACGAGAGTTGCCTTGCTGATGATTAGAATCTAAAGTAGGATGTTTTGAGTGTGGATGAAGAGGGAAATGCAGGAAGATTACCATGGAACTTGACAGCTACTTGACTATAGGGAATGAAGGAAAGGTGGCATGGGAATCTTAAGCCTGGATAAATGGAATGCAGATCTAACCATTAATGAATGTTACCCTCCTTTGTGAAAGTCTGTCTGACCCTCTGAGACATTTTGCCCACTTCCTGCTCATGTAGTGCTCATTGCGTTATTAATTGTATACTCATTTTTCCCTCCTGCCACCCACCTAGAAGTGGTCTGACTTTTAGAATTTTGGCAGTATTAAGGAATAATTAGGAATGTAAAAGTTAAGAATTCTGAATAATCTAAATTAGCATATAGCTTGTATATGGAGAATAACTAGCTGATTAGCACTCAAAGAGCATAAAGTATATTGGTCAAATTGAGTTTAGTAGATGACATGTAAAATGTATTGGGGAAGGACTGTGGGTCCCAGGGGAATGCTCTTTGCAATGATGCTTGAGCCCTGGGTAATGGTGGCAAAAGGGCAGTTACCCACAAAGGGGTATCTCTGAATGTGAGATTATCATGAACTGTTTCAATTCAGTAATTCAGTCCTAATGTCCTAGAGCTTAATTATACTCACTGAAAAGGTCACATGTTGACCAAGATTTAGTATCAAGTAATAACCAGATCTGTAGTCCTTTGGGAATTTACTCATCGTCTTCAAGCTTCAGTTTCGTCACTTGTAAAATGAGAGGGTTTGACTAGATGCTCTCAAATTCCATCTAATTTTAATATTCTCTAACTCTTTAATGTGTGATTTAATATGGACAAAAATATGTTAACTTAAAAAAGAGAAAAACACTCAAGTTTCTTCCCATAGACAAGGTGATAATATTACTAGCATTACTTTTTTTCTTCTGTCCTCCTATTAAACTGTCAACATTATATTCAAAACCAAGATATAGATTTAAAACATTACACAGGTATGTGTACCTTACCATAGAGAATTTGACAAAATAAAATTATATTTTCCCCTAATATACATTCTAACGTTGAAGATACAGATTTGTTTCTAGTCTTGAGCTTATAACCCCACAGGATGGGAAGAGAAGAAAAGCAGGCGTTGCTTGAAGAACTGTGCAATCTGGCTAATAATAAGGTGGACAGATACATATCCAGATGGTAACAGGGTAGTTGAGGGTTAGTTCAAACTAACAGGGTAGTTTGAAGCTTTGACATTTTGCACTCTGATTTTACATTACAGGAGATCATGAAGCTTGTCATTGTGCATAAAACAGTTTCCGGTAATCCACGGGGAAAATTAAAGAGAAAATACCAGCTGGAGATAGTCCTAGGGAGATCTCTCTTAAAATAGCCTCCTTTCTGATATAACTAATCCCTCCCTCTTTTATTTTCCACAGGCAATAAAGATTGATTGGGAATTGTGTCAGCAGGATATAGTGAAGGCATTGTATAAAGATGTAGAAGTGTAGATCCCTGAGGGAATCAATGGATTGAGAGTAGAAAATGAAATGTGCAGATAATAGTGTGTTTGTCCCAGCTGATTGAGTGGAAGGTGATCTTTACAGCATTTTGTTGGTGCTATTTGAAGACAATTTCACGAGATCCTGAGACCAAATAATTCTCACTTCCTTAAAACTCATAATGGACTTCTCCCCATCAGCGAGAAGACCATATTTTGCTTAGTAAAAAGGGATGTGAGCACTCATGACCAAGTTGGTGTATATCATAAGTTTATGTTGTAGGAAATAAATGTACATGATGTAGCAGAAGGGTTAATTTCAATTCCTAACAGGCAATTTAAACAAAACCTTTTCTTCCCTAATCTTGTCACTTGGTTGGCAGTTCAAAACATTTATAATATAATAACTGCCCTTCATGCTAATTGTATGTTACTGTAAGATCTTGAAGTATCTTCTGAATCATGAAGATTACTAAATTATTAGATGTTACTTTGCTTACTTTAGTATTGCTTTATTACTTTAGTATTACTGTATTCTGATTCTTCAAATCATGGTGCCTATGTATGTTATGTGGTAGTTTTTATTAACCACTGTATTTTATTAACTAGAATACACTATTTCCAATGATTTTCAGCATTAGAAGTAGAGAGCCACATCCATAAAAAGTGTTGGAGTTTTTGAGAAATGGACATATATTAAAAGAATCACTAAGTTCAGTTTTATCTAGACTATTTATAAAGATGTCCTTTAAACACCCATCAGATATAACAGAGTTCTAGACTGAGCTGTTGTGTTATGTTTTATTACTATTAAATATGACATTTTTCTTCTTATTTATATATATTTTTAAATTTATCTATTGTAAAAACATGATCATTCATTCTAAAACTTCGAAAAAACTTGAAAGGGGCTTATGATTTCGCTGTATGTTTTCTTATGTTTGAGCACTGTGGCCATGATGTCTGATCCAAATGTGACTTCGGGACCTTGGGCACCATCTTTAAAAACAAATAGACATCCCCACCCCCACCCTTTATTTTAAATTTTTTAAAAGTTGTTTTTTTTTCCTTTTATAAAAAAATGTGAATGTGCTTGTTAATATATTTAAACTGTCTGATTATTTTTGACTAGTTATACTTGATAAAATAAAAATGAGAATTCAATTATTGTTTTATCTATGAGTTTCTCTTATTGACAGGTGTTTCTTTTTTTCTTTTGGTTTTAATAGAACATTCAAATAAAAACTTTGGCAGATGATGTGGTAAGGTGGTCTTTAATAGCATGTCATTGCATTACTTATGCATGTTGCTTTTATATTAAAGTGAGTGGACATTACAGCATTGATATATGTAAGATACAGAATGTTTGGATGTTTACAAAGTGCAGTAGAATGGAAGAATTTTCAATAGAGTGACGTCTTTGTTTGAATTTTAACATAAAACAATTATATGAAATCTCAACAAAATTTTGATATTATCATCTTGGTATATACCTTAACCAAATTAAAAAAAATCTGTAAATATCACTCTGGAAAATCCAGATGTTTCCTTTTTTGATAGCTTAAGAAAATTGACTGTGAATATGTTAACTAGTAATATGAATATTGGAAGAAATTAATGTAACATAGAAAGGAGGCTAAGTTCATTATGTTAGTCAGATATTTAAAATCCTTAAATATTTTTGAGCTGAATCTATCACAGTAAACCTTATTAAAAGTTATGGGCTTTAAAATTTAAATGTGCCCTTTTATAGCTAAACTTTAAAGAAACAGTATTGTAAGCAATGCTAATTTTTTACTTGGTGAAATTGCCTATCTACAAATAATGTAAAATACTGATAGTAATTTAAGGAGGTGAAAGTATTCAGATTAACTTCATTTTCTTATCAAGATATAGCTGAAAGCAAAAGCCAGTTTTCTAGATAGAAATGAAGGGCATAGTGGAAGATCAAATATATATGTAAATAATGCTACTCAGTAGAAAAGCCAGCTCTGCAAAAGTAAATATTAAATGATATGAAGGGACAGGAACAGAGGTCTGTTGATTTAACGGTTGATTGCATATTTGAATGCTTTTATGTCCACCATATCTTTTAGTGAAATTTGACTGTTGAATATGTACTCAGCTTATTTGGGATTGCTTAATATTTTTTTCTTCAGTTGTTCAAAGATATACTACATATCTAAACCAACTTAATTTTTCTCAGATTTTTAAAGAAAATTTGAAAATATTGTTAAAGATGATTTTAAAAAAATGAACCTTACTGTGAACACTGGGATAGAAACCAGAGACTCGTGATTTTAGCGAGTCACTTTTTCTGTGAAATGAGGGAGTTGGTTTGGATTATTTTTCAAGTTTCTTCCCAGCTCTAGAATATTATGATTTATATAATCTCTTTGCAAGCAACCACATACTAAGATCATTTTTGTAATCCTAAATAAGCTGCTTAAAACTACTCATATTTATTTCAAAGCACACCTTTTAAGAAAAAAAAAAGTGTTCTTTGAATCAATATGAAAGGTCTGTTTGTTTTTTTACTGGGGGTCAACAGAAACTTACATAAGTTGCAGTAATGACTTCTTGACGCTTTTTGTATTGTTGAAGTAATGTATAAGGACGCGGTAACCTGGCAGTGAAGACACGCAGTCCTTGCATCTGCCCTGTGTCTGCTTGTTTGTTTAACGTGAGCTGACAGTGTGCGTGTGCTTCCTAACAGAAACAGAATAAAACCGAGCTGCATTCAGTTTTATGGTCCTTACTAATTTTTGATGTCTAATGTTTTGTGGTATAAAACAGAATGGCCTGTTTACGTGCAACTGGAGTCGTTAACCCACTTTATGTGAAATAGAAAGCTAATTATTAGAGATTGTACATGGAATCAATGGTTCAGAGTCAATATCCATTAAATAGCAAGTTCTTCATAATAGTGTTTGTAGGATTAAGATATTTCTGTTTATGTTGTGTTTCCAGTAAATGGAAAAGGTGATGTCTTGTTGGTTCTACTTTTTAGGGCAGAAAAAAAAACGTAGAGGAAATAATAGTAATAGTAAGAACAACAATAATAAATAGCAGCTAAATGCATTGGGCATATCAATTTATTTTATTGCACAATAACCCTGTGGTGTAAGTAATATCATTATTTACTTATGTGACATGTTAAATCATTGTGCTATATTACTTTTTATTTTTATTTTTATATTTTTTTATTTGTTTCAGAGAGGAAGGGAGAGGGAGGGAGAGATAGAAATATCAGTGATGAGAGAAAATCACTGATCGGCTGCTCACCACGCCCCCCACTGGGGATTGAGCCCGCAACCCAGTCTTGTGCCCTTGGCCAAAATCAAACCTGGGACCCTTCAGTCTGCAGGCTGATGCTATATCCATTAAGCCAAACTGGCTAGGGCTCATTGTGCTGTTCTGGAGATGAGGAAACAGAGACTATCTAATTTGCACAGGCAAACTGAGCAAGTAAAAGGCAGATTCATATTCGGGTAGTCTGCCTTCAGAATTTGTGCTCTTAACCACGATACTCTACTGCTACACTGAGCAAGTATTCACAGATACTTGTCACAATTTTTGGCACCTTGAAGAAGACAGACATTACTATAACATCCCCTTAGAACTGGATATCGGAAGCTCTTTTTATTTTCTTTCTCTCTTTCTCATGATTTGAAAGTTGCCAACAAAGACACATTCTCCCTGAAATAACCCACATGACTTTGATGCAGGACTTTTTGTTTACCTACTTCCTGTGCAAAACAGAAATGACGGAGAACTGAGTTTTACTTTTTAAGGAATACTTTTCAGCCCCCAGACCGCTGAGGCCGGAGAGCTACTTCAGGGTTTCAAAATAGTACAATCTCTAACTGGAGCTTGCTGCTTAAAATAACATTTTGTCAAAAGGCAATAATGTTGTGTGTCATACTAAGTGCCATTTTGATGTTTCAGTTCCTTTTTTTGTGATTCCCAATCCCCTTTTTAGGGCTTATTTGTTGTTGTTGTTTTCCCTTTGCAGCGTGACCGAATTACAAGTTTTAGAAAATCTACTGTCAAAAAAGAAAAACATCTTATTCAACATCCTATTGATTCTCAAGTAGCGATGAATGAATTTCCAGCACCTCAGCCATTATACGATGAACGATCTTTGAATTTGTCAGAAAAGGAAGTACTGGATCTCTTTGAAAAAATGATGGTAAGGTGGACCCCTACTTTTGTTGTAATTTAAAAATGCATGTGCCCAGAATAACACTGGGTTTTAAGTAGGTATGTTTGTATGGACTGTGTTTATGTCACATAAAGGATGGACCAGAAACTTGGCCGATACAGCAGAACTATTTTCAAAAGTATCCGTTTTTTGAGCTAACATTCCTACTTATCTCTTCCAGTTTGAGCTCCTAAAAGCAGAGGCTGTCTTACTTACTTTTGATCTGTAGCATTTTGTAGTCTCTGGCACATCAAATCAAATTTTCAGGTAACTAATTTGTGTTCCTGTTTCTATAAAGCGAAACAGGCCTAAGTCCTCTTTGCTGCACAAGGTATCTTGTTCGGTATATGAAACAGAATTGGGAGGCAAGAAGTGATAAAACCATTAGTGGGGGCAGAGATATTAATTCCTCCAAGTTTGTTCTATAGCAATAGTCACACAACCAACATTTCCTAGCATGTTGCTTATATTTTATAGCTTGTGGTCTATGTTATTTCTTATATTAGATAATAAATATCATATTTTGAGTATTCACTAGTTTATGGTAGGAGAGGAGAGAGATGAGGTTTGGGCCATATTACACTGGCTTGCTTGACCAGAAAAGAAGTGGAGATCCTGACTCATGATTTCTTTATTCTCTCCCACTTAGCATTGTAATATTTTCAGGTGGATGTCTATTTATCTAGAGTTAGAGTTCACAGGAGTTCCCAAGGTCCCTTCACCCACACCAAAATAAAAGGTTACGAATCACTGCAAATCCAGACCCTTCTACTCTGCTCATTATGGAACAGCTTGTCACCACCCATCCCACCCCCACTGTTTCCCTCCTGTGCCTAGACGAGGAGGTAATAGGCCTTCAATAAATATCAGTTGAAAGTTGTTGAATGAAGACAAACTTAATTCCCTTTATCTTTAAACTTTTCCTTGACTATTCCTTCCATCTTGCCACTGTTCCTTCTATCTGGCTTGTCCCCAACACAAGTCCTGCCATTCGTGCCCTCTTCAGCCCTGCATGCCGTTTTCTTCCTGCTCCTTCCATGCCATCTTTGAACCATCGTTCGGCAACCCTTTCTCTTGTGAAGCTTGTTACCTGCTGACCTTCCTTGATGATAAAAGCACCTGGCTATCCTTTTGACTTTTCCCTTGATTTTGGTGATTTCAACAATTGTGTTGACAACCCCATGCTTTTTTTGCTCTTAGTTCTTTGATTTCCTAAACTCTCACTTCTGCACTTATACATTTAGCTAATTATTGGCACGAGTATGCCTTGTTTGGACTGTGTCATTCTATGGAATGATTCCACCTATGTAAGATCTTTAACTCTGAAATTCTCCTAAATAATCTATGCTCTCTCTCCCAGGCTTCTAATTTTACAAAGTACGTATTGTGTAGTGGTTATGAACAAGGCCTTTGGGGTCATTCCGACTTGGATTTGAATTCTGGCTTCGCCATTAATCGCATTAACTTGCAAAGGTTATATAAACATCTGTACACTTTGTTTTCCTTAACTGTAACAAAGATATAAAAGGATCTACCTCATATGCTTATCTTAAAGGATTAAAGGAGGTGATATTCATAGAATAGTGCCTGGTATATAAGCTCTCTGCACAAGTAATTTCATAAATATGTTCCATTATCTTTCTTTATCAAATAAAGTTCTTTCTTTAGTTGCCAATATTCTAGATCACCTAGATTGCCCCTCAATTTACCACTTGGTTGCCTTATCTTAATAACTCCAAAGCAGTGATGATAACAACAGAAGCAGAAACATTCCTTGATGAACACTTTTAATTTTTTAAATAGTTTTTTTTAATTTGTCTCTCTTCTCTCTTTTTTTAAAATACATTTTATTGATTTTTTACAGAGAGGAAGGGAGAGGGATAGAGAGTTAGAAACATCGATGAGAGAGAAACTGACTAGCTGCCTCCTACACACCCCCCATTGGGGATGTGCCAGCAACGAAGGTACATGCCCTTGACTGGAATCAAACCCGGGACCCTTCAGTCCACAGGCCTATGCTCTATCCACTGAGCCAAACCAGTCAGGGAAATATATATATATATATATATTTTTACTTCTCTTCACTCAAGCCTCACTGAAATTATACTTACTGCTTTAATCTCCCAACTGGTTACTAATTTTTACAGTATTGAAATAGTTCTTTGAGTTTATTAGTGGCATTGCCCTACTCTAGTTTACTTAAGCTTGACACATCCGGGCGATCTTCTACTCCATTGGTGTTCTCAGTCACTTCCAGTTGCTTGCCAAATCATACTGGCTTGGCTTTTGCAATGACTTTTACATCTGTTTCCTCAAATGTCCTCTAGGTGCTCTTGCCCTAGTTTCAACAATATCCCTCTCTAGTTGTTTCTTGGAGGATACTAAAATAGCCTGCTAACTGGTCTTCCTCCTGTCCTTCAGGTTTTGTTCTAGTCCAATAATGCCCTATTAATGATCAGAAACATTGCTTTTCCAAAGCCCCAAATAGACCCTGATGTTTTCAGACAATTATTTTATACATTTCAACTCCAGTCCCTCAGCTATGCTCCTAGATGACTATTTCACACCTGTACTTTGATGTTCAATCCTCAGAACTCTTACTTATCTTTATACTCTGCTGATGACTTTGCTGCTTAATTTACTGAAGCAATCAGAAGAAAACTTCCACCACCATATATATCTACCCAACTTTTAGTACCTGCACTCACACAGTTTGTCTTGCTACCTGTCACCGTAGGTGAACTTTTTATGTTCCAAATCCCTCCATTTGTGTATAAGGTTCCATTCCTTTTCAACTACTCAGGGACATTGCCCCAATAATTTTTCTCCTCTGTCTTCTGCCATTCCAAGCAGCATACAACCTGTCTCATTTTACAAAACCTTTTCTTGACCTTATCTCCCTTGCCAGCTACTGCTTTATTTTTACTCTCCTTTGAAGCAAAACACCTTGCTTAATTTTGTTTATATTGATTGCTTCTGATTTCTCACCTCTCACTTTCTCTCCTAAACTTACTCCAGCCAGGCTTCCACCTCACCGTTCCATCAAAACTGTTACCAAGGTCACCAAAGATGTTCATGCTGCTGAATCCCATGCTCAGTTTTCAGTCTCATCTTGATTGACTTATCGGCAGCATTTGATGCAGTTGATCATTCTCTTTTAAAATGTTTCCCTCTCCACCCCCCAACATTGATTTTATTTCCTCTCCTGTCTTTGAAATGCGTGACAAGAAATAAGTTACTTTAACATTGTTGATACAATTATTTGTAATTTCTGGGTAATGATATATTTTGGTGAAACTTGGTGAAAGCTTAAATAATCAGAGGCAATCCTATCTAATAAAAGAGTAATATGCAAATTAACCCTCACTCTGTCACAAAGATGGCGGCAGTCACGGAGCTGGAGTGAGCAGGAGGCTTGGTTGCCCCCAGGGATGGAGGGAGCCAAGCTTCCCACCTGCCCTGGCCAGCCCTGAGCTCCACTCAAGGCTACAAAGTTTCAATTATAGAAGATAAATAAATCCCAGATACCTGCTTCCAACTGGCCTGTCCTCCACTCAAGGAGGGGCTGGGAACATGGGTTGTCAGGGACAACCCAGGCTTCCAGTGGGACCAAGGCTACAAAGTTTCAATTATAGAAGTTAAATAAATCCCAGATACCTGCTTCCAGCCCGCGGCCATGGCCAGCCTGAAAACAGCCATCAGCCCCTCACCTAGGCTGGCCAAGCACCCCAGTAGGGCCCCCCACCCTGAAGGGGGTGTGGCCAGTCTGAAAATGGCCCTCAGCCCCTCACCCAGGCTGGCCAGGCACCCTAGTGGGACCCCAACCCTGATCCGGGACACCCTTCAGGGCAAACCAGCCGGCCCCACCCATGCACTAGGCCTCTATCCTATATAACAAAAAGGTAATATGCAAACTGACCCTAACAGCAGAACCACTGGGAATGACTGGTCACTATGACACACACTGGCCACCAGGGGGGCAGATGCTCAATGCAGGAGATGCCCCCTGGTGGTCAGTATGCTCCCACAGGGGGAGCTCTGCTCAGCCACAAGCCAGGCTGATGGCCGCCAGCACAGCGGTGGTGGCGGGAGCCTCTCCCGCCTCCTCAGCAGCACTAAGGATGTCCGACTGCAGCTTAGGCCTGCTCCCTGCTGGCAAGTGGACATCCCCTGAGGGCTCCCGGCCTGCCAGAGGGATGTCTGTCTGCCAGCTTAGGCCCGATCCCCTGGGGAGCGGGCCTAAGCCACCAGGGGGACAACCCCCAAGGGGTCCCAGACTACAAAAGGGCACAGGCCGGGGTGAGGGACACCCCCGAGTGCACAAATTTTTGTCCACTGGGCCTCTAGTATTCAACTATAAGCCTATCTTACTCTGATCATTGAAACTTGTTATGCCTGAGGATCATGTCTATAACAGTATTTCTCTTTGTACAGACTTGTAGATGTAGATATCAGGGACATTCAGCTAAAACTTTAATTATTGCAGGACATGTTTTTTTTTAAGTATTGACTTTTATTTGATTATAAGAAATCTTATTTAGTTATTAATAATTCATTTAAAAAATCGCTTGGCTCTTTAGAGCTAAGTAAAATCATGAAATGAGTCTCATTAACTAAAAGATCTGAGTGGTTAGGTTTTACTTTACTAGTGTATATTAGCAGATTACGAATGTTTCATTGAATGTCATCTATTCTATGCATTGTATGTCATCTTTCATATTGTGGGTACTCAACGGAACAATAATGGACAAATCTTCTGAGCAATGGTATCAGTGGCTATTGCTGACAGATTTAAAGCTCCAAATTTGAAACTTTTAGGTGATTGCTTATTTTATAGAGCACAAGCAATTTATTAGCTGTGTGTCTTCAGTATTTTATAAAAGTGAATTTCGTTCTTAGAGTATGGTCACTGACTATTAATTGAAAATTAGGAAGTATTTATTTTTTTATTTGTTTTAAATTTATCTTTATTGTTGTAAGTATTACAG